AGTTCTTTTTCTATATAGGCTACTAGCCTGCTTTATGCTTATTGTTCTAATGCTTAATGCAATACTATTATGTGCATTAGTACTAAGAGTATAGATAATTATTAGGTCTATGTAACATGTTAAGAGGGCTTTTCTAAGTCTACTAAGAGTATTTCTATGTTTGTACTATCTAAACAGGGTGTTCTTTTTATTAGTAATTATTAGTGCTATAGGTTTTATTTTTATAAAGTGTATACTAACTATAGCTTTATTATATTACTAAAGCCTTCCTACTAATTATAAGGCTTAGAAGTAGTGTTTTAGGCTTTTTAAGTGCTAGCTTTAGGACTTTAAACCTAGCAGGTCTGCCTAGTTCTTCTAGTTTCTAGTCTCTAATCTTAATAAAAAACTACTATTATTTTTTTTTATTTATAATATTATACTTAACTCTAGCTATTTATTATATAATGTTAAATATAAGGTAGTTGTTGCTAATGTTTATCTAGTAAAGTAAAACTATATAATAACTTAGGTAATTATGTTATAAACTGCACTTCTAGCACTTACATTCTTAAAACTATTAGAAGAGCTCTCTTACTAAAGTACTAGAGGTCTAGTTTTAAAAGGGGAACTACTTTTTTCTTTTTTAAACATTTATAATGTATTCTTAGATTTAAGTTTTTTTTTTATATTTTTTAAAAATTATAAGGTCCTATAACACTATATTAAAGCTACTAAAGTTTTAAATAACTACTTTTTAGTACACTTTAGAATAGTTATTTAAAGAATAGTTACTTTTACATTGCTAGTAAAGTCTATTATTTAGTCTTTCTAATATTTCCTTATCTGTAAGGCTATATTTAGCAGTAATAGCTTTTATTATTATAGTAGTATTTTTATTCTCCCTTTTTTAAAAGTTTAGGTAATTTTAGTAGAAATGTCCTACTTTTCTATAGTTTAAGTAGGCCTTATTCTCTAGCTACTTTTATTATTTCTTTATTAAAAGCAGCCTATTACATCCTAAAACTTAGCTTTTCTTAGAGAGGGGGCTTTATGTGTGCTTTATGTAACTAAAGTCTATTAGTTTTTTATTATATTATAAAAGCTTCTTTTTCTTAGAAATAAACTCTAGTCTTTAAAAAGTTTCTTTTTATTTTTTTTCTTTTTTATATTCTTTATAATAGTTGTTGTAGGTTGTTGCTTATGTAATAAAGTTTTTAAAAGTAGTTAGTTTTTTACTATATATAAATTTATCTTTTACTATTTTACTTAACTTATTATAGAACATGCAGCAGAGAGCCTTCTAGTCTGTCTATTTATAGATAGCTAGCTATTCTCTAAATCGTGCTGCATAGTTCTAAACTAGGTTTATTTCTTATTTTATAGTGTCTAGTTTGTTAGCTGCAATTTTTTTTTATTAAAAGTTTTATAAATAGCTATTAGGGCTTTTTTAAAGTTTTTAATATTACTAAATATTTTTTTTATTTTAGAGGTAAGTGCTTTACTATTTACTTTAAAGTTTATCTAATTATCTGCATAGAGTTAGAACTAAATTATAAAGGGGCCTTTTAAGTGTAGTTCTATCTAAGATATTATTTCTGTGTTAGTTTAAAATGCTTTTTTATTATATTACATATAAAAGTAGCATCTTATAAAGAATAGTTAAAGGTCCTTTAGTAATTCTCTAAAAGGCTTTAAAAAGGCTAGTCTTAAAGCTTTTTTAGCTATAATGCTTATTTTTTTAGTTAAGATGTTTTAGATCTTTACTAACTTTACTTATAGTTTATATATTTAATAGGCTTAATTAGTAGCTTTTTAGGGGCTTAAAAGTTTAAAAAGGTTTTATAATTTTATTACTTTTTAGTAAAAGTTAGTAATTTCTTTTTTAAGTTTTAAAAGCTTACTAACTTTATTACTAATCTACTAGAGTTTTTTAATATTATTCTAGATTAAATTAATCTGTTCTGCTAGAACAGCTTTACTTTAAGTAGGAACTTCTATAGATCCTAATAGCGCAGTATAAGCTATGTTAGAATTTAAGTTATATTAAAAGGTTACTATACTTTTTAAAAGAGTAGTGTTTAATATTACAATCTTTGCTTTAAAAAGCACTTAGGTCTTATAGTATTCCTAGAGGGGAAGTAAGACAGGTAGTAGGGGCTAATCTAGTAGGGTGTACAGTCCTACGTACAGGCTATTAGGCTAATAGAGGGTGATATAGAGTGACTAGATTATAGTTTGCCCTTAATACAGCAGTAGGGAGGCTAGGTTAAACAGTTCTAACAGACAGAGTTAGAGGTATATATAGTGTAAGATATATAAATAGTATTATAGCTCTTTAAAAAGCTAAATGCTACTTAGTTTATGTAAAAAATAAACTAAATATTAAACACACCTTTTAAAAGTTATTTAATATAGGAACTATATACATGTGCTAAAGTTGCTAAGGGGAGCAGGAGAAGTTTATAGAAGTTTGCTAAGGAGGGCTTCTTAAGCTCCCTTAAGCTCCTGTTAGTACGCGGCCTGTTTCCCTATTAGACGACGCATTCCTCCACGATTGCAGGCAGCTGCGCTGTCTCCGTGTCTTCCAATTGGTCCGTAAGCGAGCCCTGTCCCAATCCAGCTAAATTGTGGAGCACTGCCGGTGGAGTTACGCTGGTCCAACCGTAGACCGTAACACCCTAGACGCCTTGCTAACGCTTTAATAGCCTAGTCCTTTTAACACTATACTTTTTAGCTATTGTAGTAATATTAATTAATTCTCTTAGTTTTAGTAATTTTAAATATGCCAGCGCGTCCTTAATACAGTCTATATTAGTGGAGTTGCAATAATGTTAAAAATTGGCAAAATCTGGTGTGTGCGTGCGTTAGGCGAGACCGTGCGTCAGCTGATTAAATTTAGTAAGCCTGAAAGAGTTTGTCTCTTGGCAAGACTAATCTGTTTTTAGATAGCGTTCTCTGCCGTTACACAATCTAAAACATTATGCAAATGAATAGAAGGCAAGCAGTCCTTAGAGTTTTATTTGAAAAACCCCGGCTTTATATGGCCACAATCAACTATAGACCTTAAATTATTTCCAACCAACAACGGCAGTGATGGCATGTGGGACCCCTGCATTTCCAAATGTGGTGCCACACGATCCAAGCTGATTCCAAACATGGCTCACGAGACAGCACTAACTCGCCGAGATATGCTTGCCTCAAACTGCTCCCAGCAAAAAGGTCGACGAAGTTAGTCAAAAGGCTCTCTCTGCGTTCCCCCGACCACTGAAATACGTAGTGAAAGCTTGCCAGCTCCGTATCCTCGAGACCAGGGAGAAGTCTTCTGTCTAAGTTCATGGCATCGATATTCAGACGTACACCTGGAATTGGGATTCGAGCACCAGGATTGCCCTCACTCATGGACTTGGGAGATTAGCCGCGTTTATCGCCCTCATGATCGAGCCCCTTTGAACATATCTACCCATTAAATGGTGACACCGGACCAAGAAGCTTATGGCGCATCGTCTTGGGGCGATGCTTCGCTGGGCCACTTTATTTTGATTCCGAGGTAATTAGTCTAGGATGAACTGCAAAGAAAAGAAACGTCGAGGCCGTAATTGGGTACTCCATTAGTGCAGCGGTGCAGGCCGTTTTCAGCCTCAGTCTACGGGACCTTCACTCGTCGCGATCAACCCGCCGCTGTGGCCTACAATGTTCATCCAAGGCTTCTGTGCCTATAATTCGCCTCCGCTCTCACTTGTAAATGGGATGAAAGCCGCTTTCGTTCCATCTCCAGAGGATGCTTTCAAGGAGAGAATGACCGCAAGCCCCTGGGCTATAAGCATAGGGTTTATTTTAGTACAAGACTACAGCGATGTTATTGCAATGCCAAGGGAGAGCTATATGATGGCAACGTAGCTGAAGAGTAGCGGAGCCGATATTACATTCGAGAAGACGAAGGGCTGGGGTCATTTCAAACCCGTGAAGGAGCAGGATATTCTGGCTTTAATCCAGAGGTTCATCGACATACCAAGGCCAGAGAATGCTTGCTCCTAGCACGATTGCGTGAAAAAGAGACATGGTGGTCTCGGGAAATGGGGTGACAGAGTGAACTGAATCTCGAAACCAGATTTATGTGTGCATTATCTTTCGACGGGGAAAAGAACCGCCTCTAGAGCTTCGACCTGACGTCTTTTTTCCCGATCTTCCTCGTCAATGACATCTTCCATGAAACAGCGTTTGGTCTGCACCTCGATGAAATTATTGCACACCAAACGTGCAACTGATAGAGTTGGGGGTATTTGCCGATGACACTCATATACTAGATTCGGTGGTAAAATTTTTGTAAATTCTTAGGAACATCGTCGTTTTCGATCTCGTCTACTTGAGCCGATCTAAAAGTGTCATGGTTCTCGGAGCCCATTTTAACTGATTCAAATACGAGGGGTAATAGAAGGGAAGTAATTCTTGATTTGCGTGGTTGGAAGGTAGTCTTGAATAGAATCCCATATCGACTTCAGATATGAGTTTGGCTTTTCGAAACCGCCCGCCGTGTCTCCACCTATATAGTTAAGAATAGTGTCGGTTTCTTCATGGTACATAGCATAGAAAGTAGGCTGGGTGCTATTCGTCGTGTGAGAGGGGTGATAGGGTTGATTTCATGGGCTCGAATGACTGCGCACTTGGCAGGATAGCTTGTTAAAATACGGCTAACCCTCGATAAAGGGCAACGGCTTCTCGCGGCAAGAGAATAACAAGTAGATTAGAGAACAGCAAGCACAGCTTAAGTATTAGGTGCAACCTCTAATATCTGTTAAGGAGTTGTCGTTATTCTTAATTATTCTAGTACAGCCTAGGTATAATATACGTAATATTCTTCTTAACTAAAGCGTCTATGTTTACCTTCGTACTGTTAGTAAACAAAAGCAGAATAATCTTTCACTTACCTAACTATCTCTTTCTACTCTATTAGTTTCCTGTAAAGTCCTAATGTAATGGCTTGGCGCAGCTAGTAATTGCCTAATAATAGTGTTGAATTGATGAAGAAGAAGAACAATGTCCTCACTACAGAACTAGGGTTTATACTGCAACACCTAGGTAGCTTAGGCCTAGCTCAGGGATAGCTACAGAGATCTCCGAGGTCGAGTTACATGATCCACCTTCTACACCACCTGTTACGTCACCTGTTTTACCTAACACACTCCTTTAGCAATCAATCTAATTCCTCATTTCTGCGCCTGCCAAAAGCTTCTCCAAAAGCTTCACATACAACTACCTCTCATCCTCCTTGCCGTACGAATGTACGCAAAATCTCACTCATACAGGCCTCAAAATCTCTAAATCGTACAGTACTACGCCTTGTTGGAAGCGCTGACGACGAGCCCGGTACCAAATATTACTCTCCCAACACAGCCCACGCTAACGGACGCGGTCACAATCGGTCCATATTAGTTAGATATGTTCTAAGTGACGAACCAACCCCTCAGCCTGGCAGCTGGACATTAGAATCAATAACGCTCGTACCTGCTAACATTTTGCGCCTTGCACCAAATAGAATTATGTCAACAGCTCAAAGCGTCGAGAGCGACGATGTGATTAGAAGAGAATTGTAGCATCCGGCCCCCGCATTTCCTTGCACATGGTCAACACGTGCTCTTGCGAGGTGTCTAACCATACCATTGCAGCGAATAATATGTCATCTCTTGAAGGGGTGGCCTAGCCTCTAATGGGATCTTCTTCAAATGCCCCGTTTCACATACCGCGGCCTCACGACGACGCAGTTTACATACAAGCGATCGTCGATACTGGAACGATTCCTGTTGGGACTCGCCCGGTAAAGTGCAAGAGAGAGGGTTAGGGAAAATGAACAAGGAGGCGAACACAGATCTAGGCGCACCCGGGAGTCCTGAGCTTGCTAGCTCCCACGCTAGGCTTATCGACTCACCACCGTCACCACACGCCAGAATAGCCTCCAATCTCGGTAAAATATTCGTCCCGCCCTCCTGTTCGACACCTCCTCTATAACCTGCCACTTCAGCGCTACTCCCGGCGCCGAACGCATCCCCGTCCCCTCAAGCTCCACGCTTCTTCTCCAATGAAAGGAGTGACCCACAAACCACAAAGGTCCTGCGCTCACGTATATCTCGAACTGCAATTCCAGTGTTGCATCGGTAGGTAAGGATATTGAGCGAAACAATCTAGGAGAGGAGTTGTATAGAGCTGACGATATGGGTATTCTAGTAGACATGTATCGGTACGTTACTGACTATGCGATACTGGGACCACAGATTTGGAGCGGCGCGACATCGTTCAGGCAGTGAGACAAAAAGCGGCGCAAGCATCGGAAATTTGAGCGCGTGTGACCAAAGTCGATAGAATTCATCACTGCATCTTGAAACCATGTAACTACGTTGTCTTACTTTCGAATATTATAATATCCGAGTGATGTTGGATCTAACGCGAAGAGGGCTCCCTTGGGCTCGCCCAAGCCTTTTCCGGGGTGTAAGACTTGTATCTCATTGCAAGACTTTATCATATTTGAGGTAAAAATCTGTAGACTGTATATTGTGTTCATATCCGTCCCTTGGTCGGTATATCATGGCTCGCTCCCCTCAAAGTTGGGGAAGGACTGCTGCCTGAGAAGCTCCATCCACCTTTAGGTAACCAGCTAACCTTCGTTTGCTTCACATTCACTCGCAGCCCATGTCCGTTCTCCTTTGGCTCAGTAATCTTCTTCTGCATCTCGTCCGGCAGACCATAGAGTAGCACAGCGATAGCCGATGTTTTCCACACACCCACATTTTCGCTGTCAACCAAGCTCCGAACAATAGTAGCAACAAGGAAAATACAAGTCAGGCCAAGCAGAGCAAGAGGAAGTGATAGCCATGCCCACCGCACGTCTACGAAGCTCTCTTTCTCGAACGCTGGACCGATCTTCATGTCTATGTTGCTTGGCAATGAGCGCATTAAATTGGTCATGGCGGTGGCCATGAGATCCATGTGTATCGAAATGTTGGCGAACATGAAGGGATTGTAGGTCACATTTCGCGTAAAAGGCCCGATGGTTATGTACTCTTTGTACCGCAACAAAGCATCAGACTCATTAGTACTATTAGCCAGTGTGTAGGATGAGGGAAAGATGTCATCGAATAGGGACAGAGTAAGAGTGTGGGTATAGTTGTCGACGTGGTACTCGAATCCGCTTTCACCCCTCACCGTGATGTTCTCGGTGTAGAAGTAATTGGTGCCACTCAGTCCGTTGATCTTGTTGGGGGTCGGATATGTCACCCATGGTGACGGCCCCAGCGTGCCATTGACGAAGCTGCTGGTGATATTTTCGGTATAGCTTCCCTCTAAGTATGTTGACAACATCGTCTTAACGCACCACGAAAGAATGCATTCGTGGGCTATAGGGGTGGCGTTTCGTTGGATACTTTCCAAGCTCTCGCCAGCAACAATGATGACGTGCGTTAGTGGGTTGCGACTGTTGTTGAGTTTAGCAGGATATCCAGGCAGCGGCTCTCGAGTGAAGACGTCGTAGAGGGGTTGAGCGCGCATTAACAGTATCTCTCCTGCGTGAGCCGTGTCGCGATCGACATCGTACCCAGTCATGAGAAGGGGACTGGCTGCCTTGAGATACCACCCGCACGAGGTTCCGTTTGGAAAGGCTGTCTCGCCGCTATCAGGATCTTCGTCAGGAACTTGGACCCAGTCAAGCGTTGTATTAGCACATTTAAACTCGAGAAGATCGGTGGCTTTTATGCACTCGCTGCAGACACCAAGCGTTTCGTATTCTGGCCATGTACACTTGCTATTGGGGCATGACAGCGGAATTTCAGCTCTTATTCCTTTACCAAATATCATAGGCAGAGTTCCGTTGTTGTAGAAGAAATGGTGCACGGCTCCCAGCATATTTTGGTCGAGTTCTAGGTTCTCTAGACCCAACCGATACTCTTTGTCGACTCCATATGGCTCATAACCTGTCGCTCTAGGAATAGTGCCAGTTCCTGGTTGTAAACACCAATGCTCAGGATATTCGACAACTTGTTGGAAGAAAGGGTCCAGAGCGATAGCGAAGAGGGTCACAGCCGCGCCAAGTGCTGCCAGTGTTCTCCCCCTAGTACCCAGAAGTAAGAGGAAAGACCCCCAGGGCCCTCGAGAAGCACTGTCGAAGATCTCGAAATCCCACAATTTTTTTGATTTTTTGAAATTGTCTCCCCGAAACCAGCTCCATTTCAGCTGTCCAAGGGCTTCAGATACAGGCACAAGGAGGGCAGCAGACGCAACCTTTGACAAGACAGAGATGTAGGCGTTTAGCGTTAAGCCAAGGGGCCAGTGTGGTATGCGTTTGTTTTGGTAGACAATCAGCACGGCAACGATGCCGGCCATGCATACAGCGCTGAGCGACCAGCTAGTAATCTCGAGTAACCACCTCTTGACAAAATTTCTAGAAGTGCTGTATTTCCACAGCCTTTGCTCGATACGCTGAGCAACGTTCAGATCCTCCACTTGATCTCCTGCGATGTCTCCGCCCGCCTTCTCCGCTGTACCGGGCGTAATTGGGCTTGTGTCGGGCTTTGAAGCGATTTCGGGGACTTCAAGCTCAATATGGCTTCTCCTTTTCCAGTTATTGTCACCTTTCCTTATAGCGGGAGAAAGGGGAGAGAAGGCATTTTGACGAAACCGCACAGGCGGCCTTCCTTCGGGATCAAACTGTAGGGAGAGGCGGGGAGGTTGAGGTGTGAACCGGGGACATGTCTCTAGAGTGATTTCTGCGGCCGCTAGGTTTCTGGAGGAGAGAGCCGGCGATGCAACCGACATGCGGTGAATTGGCTGGTCTCTTGAGCTGATTTTGCATGTCGGACAGGTGCGTTCGAAAGAGTCTATGGGCTCTGGTGGTTGCTGTTCGACGTTGGTATCGAAGGAAATAGGAAGGCCTGCATTGGCAGACATGGTCAATCGAGAACGCCACAAGAGGATTGCTGGTGCTGACTAGCTCCGCTTGCTCGATGGTAGACGTTCAACGGAGCCATGAAGGGGCAAGCCAAAAGGAAATGAAAAGCAGGAGCGCAATGGCTCCTTAATACCGATACGGCGAGGCTGGCGCGCAGTGAGCCTTGTTTCAGCATTCCAAAATAGCCTCATGATATCGATGTCGGGATAAGTAGAATGAACTAGACGGGGGCAGTCAACCCTTACAGAATTATCATATAAGCGCTGGATGGAAATGTACGCGCCGGGTCAACGTTAAGCAACTGCATGTGGCACAGCACCTCGGCGACTAGGCGCAGGTGCTCAATCCCACTATGAGGATTGCTGCAAGACGCGGGTTCGAGGATGTGACGATGTCAAATGCTCTTCAAAAAGGCATCTAAGTACAGCAGGGTCGCATGAAGTTGTGGAGTATACAGAAGCCTTGAGGCTGGGGAACGCGGAGCACCGAGGCAGGTAGTCAGGCAGCAGGTAGTACTTCGTAACGAAGCGAAAATTACACGACGCGCTAGGCCAAAGCTGGACTCCTTAGAAAGCCTTGTAAATTTTACTGTAAAGTCAGGCAACGTAGAGCATAATGCAGGCATTACTAAATTGATGCTGATAACTGAACAACATAGATAACTTCTCTAAGCTAGCACAGGCGCTGGGAACGGCATTAAAAACCTTTCCGACCCTCCTCCTCTCTTTCTATTCTACTATATAGTTAACATGTTTCATAAGCGAGCGGACCACCCAAGTGAGCGGACCAGCAAACCCCGCTAAAATGCCTGCGCAGCGACAACACATGACGGTCCAAGGAATCACACGTCGCACTTCCGGAAGTTGATGTTAGTTAATGTCATCTCTGGTCTCCTTGTGCCTGTCTAGAATTTCGGGAGCATTATACGCTAAGGTTCCACCATATCGCCGCTTCACCCCTGAGTCACCCTCATCGCCGTACAGGTGAAGGGAATGACCGAAGTCGGAGATACGTGCTTCCAAGCCGGTGGTCCTAAGAAAATCTTGATCAGACGCCGAGCCACTCCCGATCTAGGGTGTAACAGGAACATTGTCTAGCTTCAGATCGCCGTGGGCAATTCCAGATACATGGAGCGAATGCAGGCCTTGGGCAAAGTCCTTGCAAAGAGCAATTTCTCATGGATGCTAACCTAGCTGCTCTTTAAGAAATGTCGCAGAGTCGCAGGGTGGATGCTACCTGGCGCTCAAAGGCCCCAGAATCAACGCCTTTCGGGGGCAACTTGGCTGCTTCATGGCTACAACTTCTTCGACCGCGTATGGATACATCGAGGCACTTTGGACGACACCCCCTCCCTGATATAGGTATCGCGCTGCAAGAGGCGAGGCTCGAAGGCCTGGAGGGTCAAATTTATTGCTCCTTCAGGCCCTGTGGAAACGTTCGGTGTATTCCTATCTACAGAGGACCATCATCAAAGAGAATTTGAAGGCCTATATCTCTTGCCAGGAATTGGGGGAGCATTAATGGGAGTTATGTCCTGAATTTCCCCTACCATGATTCGAATCAGGCCATAAGATGTAGCGGGTTGCTCCCCAGGTGCACCAGAAGGGATGCGTCCCGTGTCCTGTCACCTGCGGCTGAACATGCCAAGCAAATCGCAGCAGAACCTAGCAGAGCCCAACATCCTCTTAACGCCCCGGTTTTAGCAAGAGCTTTAATATATCGATCCTATTCTAGTTATATTCCCTGCTATGCGATAACATGCAATGGGAACATTCCAGGACCTGCCCCCATTTCAGTATTGCAGATAGGCTAACTTAAACAACAGTCCTCTCCGCCGCTATATTTGATCAGCTCCTTAAGCTCGGCGAGCGGACCGCACAATTAATTTCGGACGCGAAATCATTCAACGAGGTCTGGTACTTTCTCTGCGCTAGCTGTCTAATACCTTCTAAACATCAGCCAGGAGACGGAGCAGTACCACAGCAAAATCATTGACGAGAACAACTGGACCAAGCAACTCCGTCACATCCTTTTCGAGACTTCCCCAATCTATGGAGGTGTTACTTTGTTTGAAAATTTCGACGAAGATGTTCAACAACAGATCAAAGTGTTCCTCAGCCGGCTCATTCATATGTTCCAAGAGGACTGGATCTATTAGAAACTCGTTATGGGAACAACGAGATGTAGAAAAGGCCCTCCATGGTTTCCTCGATGTCGTCGTCGTTGACAAGCAGCAAGTCACAAGAGCCCAGAAGTACGTCACCAAGATCGCCCAAGAAGCTGTTTCCTAAGCAATCCATGGCCTTATTCAGGTGGTCGTTGCAAGACAAGAAGAGAACCGAGGAGATTATAAAAGATTTCTCTGATCTCAACGGCGGGATCCATAAAAACATCAAGCTTTAGTACGTACTAACCGGACTACAGATACCAAAGCTTCTTGTCAATTGTTCTAACTGTTTCGCAGTAAGCAATGCCTTTCTCTAACCTTACCTTTCCCTACGCTGAATTTGAGGTGTTTTATATAAGTTTCTAGTAAGCTCATATGATTCATAAGCATTCCTAATTGTACCATTATCTTAAGGCCCCTGTCTGCGTCTTCGATTGGCTTGAACATGCAACACCTAAAACGCCTTCAGAACGACGAGAGCGCGAAACTCCTGGGATTCGACGTTGACGCTACCCTCCAAATCACTGCAACAGAAAACGACAGTTCGCAGGCCTCCTTTGAACTCTCGACGTGGTAGTTGGGGGTTGTAAGAAAGGCAATTCTAGTGGAAGACTGATTTGCTGTCATCCAAGGCGACAGTAAGACTTATCTTATGGAATACCGACGACACGACAGACATCAAGAACAAGCTGGTGAGGTGGACCAGAGAACTAGGTTGCGGATTAATGACCTCGCTAGGCTTTTCTCACAGGCTAAGGAAAGAGTTTTCTGTATCCCGCCGTGTATTGGTTGGAAGTATCTACAAAGCAGGGCAGCATCGCAAGCTTGCTCGATACTCCAGCAGGCCACGATCCTCACCCTATTAGCCTATGCCGTCGTTTAGACATGAAAAGCGTTAAACTGACTCTTAGCCAACGGTTTAAACTAGCATTAACACTTTCACAATGCATAACACAACTCCAGATGGTGAAGTGGGTAGGTAAAGGATGCATTGATCTCGGCCTTGTCTTTCACGCTAAATCTTGTACAGGTGCACGAAAGCTTCCGAAGTGAGAATGTCTTGTTCTTTCCAGTAAGTGACTCGAAATGGGTGCCAGAACCAGTAGGCAGTGTGCCACGGATAGACTACGGAGATCCATGCGTCCCCGGCTTCGAATTCACGCAACCAGAAATTGATTTCTCTTTCGGCTTTACAGACTTTTTCTTGGAACGAGATGTATACCGGCATCCTGAGCGGCAAGGAAGGCCAGGCAAGATGTTCAACAAGATCCACGACATTTACGCACTGGTAAGACGCCCCCCGAAGCTTGCTGTATGTTGACTGAATTAGCTGACTATCAGGTATCGTACTCCTTGAAATTGGCCTCTGGCAACGCGCTATCACGCTTGAAAACCCCCAGTTCAAGACTGCATGCGATCCGTTCGTCATTCAGGCACAACTGTTCAAGCAAGCGCAGTGAAGCCTCGGTGAAAAGATGGGCGAGAAGTATCAACAGGTCGTCATATCATGTTTGACAGGAGAATTTGGGGTACTAAACGACACCCGCGAAGATTGGAAATTGCAGGAAGCGTTTCGAACGCAAGTTTTGGATGTGCTAGAGAGGACTGCAGCATGTGTATAAGCATATTACAGGGGGGATCAGCGAGGAAAGTGGCTTGAAACCTAGGGGAACAACTGTACAGTACATTTGTACCTATTGTGGGACATTAGCAGAGCGCATTGAAGTAGGTAAACCTCTCGCTAGGATTGGGGGTTCAACGGGATGTGAACTTCTCTTTTCAATTACCCTGTCGTGGGTAGCAATCGCCAGGCATAGCTGCTACGATTCTTCCTTCCGCGCTGCCCTTCAGCCTCCCATCTGCATAGCTAATCACTCCAAAGGACCTGATCCTCCGCCAGCAATACGACCGCGCCGCTGAGTGATAATTTTGCGTGTCTTTTGGCCCCATGGTGTGAATCCTACCCTGCCCCAACCAAAGCTATTTATAGGATGGGTACTTGTTTCACCTTTCCTCACAGCCTCTTTTCCGGTTATCCGATCACGAACCCTCTTCTTGAAATTTCTGTAACTGTTTGACGCCAGGATGAATAAGATTATTATTGAATAGTTCACCTGTACAGAGCAGAATACTAGACCCTTGCATCATTTGCACCCGTAACCAGGACTTTACCTAGTCATCCAACATGTAAAAGGCGCAATCACATGTACCACAACAACGCCCCAACCCTGCAGCATTTCCAGGCAGTGACAACACCGCAGCAGCTTGATTTCAGAGAGACAAAAAGAACGTCTTTCTTCTCAGATTTACTACGCACTTACACCGACTCATCATACACTGCAGTTTAAGAATGCACGGCAGTTTCCCGTCCCGCAACTCTCACTATGCAGACATGATATCTTTGCAAAAGCGAAGCTCACCGGTGCTACCGCTTAGAAACGATAAATCATGGACCAGACATACACGAACCTGGGGATCAGTACCTTTAACCGGATTGCGACGATATCGAAATGTCCTCATAGGTGTATTCCTACTGATCATCTTTATGACTTGTCTACGGAATCGATCAAGCTTCCTAGTACAAACTCCGGCGATAATACCAGAGATTCCGCCTAACTCGGTTATCCCATGGTCGCAGTACGCTTATGTCCAATATGCCACCGACAAACATTACCTTTGCAATGCTGTCATGGTCTTCGAGGCTCTCCATCGACTAGGTAGTCGCGCTGACCGCGTATTGCTTCACCCGAAGGAATGGATTGGGTCGGTGGAAAATGGCATGAATGGGACATACGAGCACAAACTAATGGTACAGGCAGGAGATTTGTATAACGTGAAATTTGTATCAATCGAGACGCAAACTGAGCGTGCATGGCCGGTTGGTTTCACGAAGCTGTTAGCTTTCAATCAAACACAGTACAAGAGAGTCATACTCCTCAATTCAAATGCTATGGTTCTACAGGTAAGAATCTCTGCCAATTCCTGACTACATTTCAAGCGAGACCATCGCATCTAATCGATCTACAGCCTATGGACGAACTGTTCTTCCTCCGGCGCGCCACAGTCGCCATTCCGCATGCATATTGGACCCTCGACAAACCTAGCTTTCTTTCCAGTCATCTCGTCGTCCTCGAACCCTCCAAACTAGAATTCGGGCGGGTTACAGACGCCATGTTAAACCCTACTGTCGCCTCCCTAGCCTCCGTTGTAAAAAAGGTAAACGCCCTCTACAGCTCCACATCCCTCATCCTCCCCCACCGCGATTACAATCTCCGCACCAACGAGTTCACAAAAACCTACCACCAGGACTTTCTAGGTCCAGACCGTGGGGACTGGGACGCGATTGAGGTGTGGAAAAGAGCCAAATTCGTGCATTTCAGCGACTCCAAGTATCCGAAACCATGGATCAAACCTTCTCCAGACTTGAGGAAGAAATACTGGCCGCGTTGTCCGGAGGGAGAGAATGGCAGAGAGGAAGAGAGTCAGGATATTTGCAGGGAGCGAGAGGTGTGGGTGTCGTTGTATGATAGTTTTTCATTGTGGAGAGAGGTATGTTAGGATATTTTTGCGCTCTACGCTCTATTGAATCGTACTGACTTGAAGTTTCTGTGGCGTAGGAAGTTTGTGGACGAGCGTTTGATGATTAGGCTGCTCTTCAGTCCACTGTTCTGCGCCTTGAATCCTTGGCATTCAGGACCATTATCCAATACAATGCTTCAGCTATCTGCGATCCTTCGAGCCGGACAGCATGTTAGAGCATAGCGCGGAAAATAAATATAGCAGATCTAAGTTCTTAAAATTAGGGCTAGAATTATGAAAAACTCTATCAGGACACAAATACATGGCATTCCCAGTCAAATTTGGCAGTTCATAGCAGATTTTGCCTTCAGGCACTTAGGATTTTCAGCTAGGATTTTCAACGTTTGTGCATATCTTGTTGCAACTGCATCATGAAACGGAGCGATGAAAGAGTCTTTCGCAGACCGCAACCTCGATGATCATGGCAATGTGAATATCTTCTTTTCAATTATACTTTGCCTGCGCAACCTGGCATGCGAATACGCATCTTGCACACTCTTCGCTGCTTTTGCAATTTTATGGAAGATTAGTACTCTTGATCTAACCGAGACATGATTTAGCGGAATTTGTCTCACATATGCAGAAAGCTCTTCGGCAACGCGTTATTGGGATGGTGTCCAGGGTATTTTCTCCATATACAATAGTATTGAATTTTTAACGTTCCATTTGAATAGTATAGGTACAAGCAATATAAAACAGACCGTTGATAACTGTCGACAAACCGGATATAGAGGTGATGGCCGAAGATTATTTGCAGAGTAACTCCCACAGAAATCTTCTTGTCCTCACAGTCTCTCTCTCAAAAATTACCTAGCCTCTTTTTCACATCTTGTGTCACTGCTTCTGCTCTCTCCTTCTTGTTAACGTCCATATTCCCTAGTAAGATGCAGCCAACAGTGAACTCATTAGCGCCGGTGAAACATTAAAGCATTAACGAGCTTAATGACGGAAAGGTAACTTTGCGGTAGTTTTCCGGTCTAAGGAAGGAAGGAATCGAAGCTAGTACGGTCTTCATCAAATATGTATTCTAAGCGAAGGTAAAGGCGGAGTCTCTTAATCATGCGTAATTGCCTGGGAGAACCAAGGAACAAGTCAACACCCTTTTTTTCAGCACTTGTGGTGGCCTCTCTCTGTAGGTGGGTGCATGTCCAAAGCCCAGGTTGATTTACGCAAGTAACGCACCACCCTCACTTACCACGAAGCCGAGACATTTAATATAATCTAGGGCGTAATGTAGATGGTGGTCAAACCACATTTCGGGCATGGGATTTGTTTGCTAGCCCACCTAGAAAGGGCGGGCCGGCGAGGTAGGTGGCGAATTGGGTAGGGAATTCTAGCCATAAATCCTCTAGAGAGTAAACAGTGAGCAGGAGTGACGTTAGGCGTGTCAGGTGCATGTACAACGTTTTGATAGAGGCCATGCACAAGCTGTGATGATACGAGATAAACCACTTGGAATCATTGGGGTCAATCGACTTGAGGAGCTGCGTGAGCGACGATATTCTGGTCGGACCCAGTGCATAAAGGTTGCCGGTGGCATAAGAAGACTCAAGTTTCGGATAAAAGCATATATACTACAAGCGACTTCGTAAGAGTATAGGATCAGGGCGCCACATCTCATTCAGAAGTGGCGTCATATTTACCATTTCCGGTCGAAGTTGATCCAGCGACGTGACTCCAAGAAGCCTCATCCCTGTTGCCAACTCCTCAGAGAGCACTGGAAAAGATTGGTCACTAAGCTAGGCTTCAAAACAGAGGGAAACTCACCATCTGTGCATCTCTCAACGCCCTGCGACCCATATGCAGCTAAAGCATACAGGTATGGCCGCCCAACACCGACTGCTGTAGCTCCAAGACAGAGCGCCTTCAGGACATCGGCGCCGTCTCGAAGACCACCATCTAGATAGATTTCCAGTTTTTCTATAACTTCGGGACAATATGTACGGATTTCGAGTAATGTTAGTAGTGAACTTGGAGCAGAATGTGCTTGCCTCCCTCCGTGATTGCTAAGGAGGATTCCTTGACACCCATATTCTAACGCAAGCTTGGCATCTTCGGCGCATTGAATACCTTTTAATACAATTGGTCCGTTCCACTCTTTCCGAATCCATAACAAATCTTCCCATGTGGTATGTGGACTTAACTGGCCCGTCGCCACTCTTCCACCAATAGCGGGTGCAAAAGTATTTTCGTTCCCAGCTTCCCATTTCGCTGTAGAGTCTTCTTCCACACCAACCGCTAAAGCTTCCTCTGCCTGAAGTACACGATCCGCCGTGCGTTTTCCGAGAACGGGTGTGTCGACAGTAATCCAAAGTCCCTTGTATCCGGCTTTCTTTACAACTCCTAACAATGCATAGGCCTTATTCCTGTTGATTGGCATATAAAATTGAAAAAAGAGTTTTGAGGGACTAGCACCCTTCACTCTCTTCTCTTCGTCCACATAAGTTTGCATAATCTGCACTGTGGGCTTTGTAGATGCCGTGCTGACGACCATATGGATTCCCTTGCGCACCGCTCCTCTTACCATTTCCGGTTCCGCTTCGGGGTGAATAACGCCTAGGGTCCCCATGGGTGAGATGTAGAACGGATATTGTGAGCGTTGGCCGAGAATCGAGCGTCGTGTATCCACGTCACCAACATTTCTTAGGACACGAGGCCGAAAGTTGATACGTGACCAGTCGCTGAGGTTGGTTTTCAGAGACAGGCCTGTGTTTGCAGAGCTCGAGGCATATACCCATGCTTTATGTGGGAGGACAGATTTTGCCACACGTTCGAAATCCGGGGCGGAAATGATCATGGAAACATGGGGTATTTTATCGCCTGTCGAGGAAGCAGGCTTGGCTTCTACCTCTTTCGGTACTCTCAATTGTGCTAGAGTATTTGAGTCAACAGGTCCCAGGTCGCTGCCTGCTGGAAGATCGTTGACATAGTCCAAGGGATGGTACTTTTTGAACTCAGTTGTTGCATCCTATCCACGAGTCAGTTCAGTTGACATTAAGTCCGAGAAAGATGAATATGCGAACTGAACCGGCTTGCTTTAGCAAGATCGCAGCACCCCCCGGATGCTCCGAGAGAAACGACGTGATGTCGTACACTTTCGAGTCTAGTACTATCCAGCTCGATTTCTTGTTATTGTGCTTTGCGACTTCTGCTCCGTCTATAGGTGCCATTTTCTATAAATAAAGAGAATTGCAAGAGATAGAAATACTGGAAGGAATGCGAACGCGGAATTGGAGGTAGGAATGCGGCGAGATAAATACCGAGGTAGTCCGTGGGATTGACGAGCTAGTCGAAAAGGGGTTAGAGCTCCTCCAACGGATCCCCGACACGGGGAGAATGCCGGTCGAAAGTTTTGCCTCGACTCTTTCCGCAACCAGCTCCCTATCAATGGAACTTGGTGCCTTTTATGTATTCACCTTCAGTTAAATATTCAGCAACACAGTCAGATATCGGGCGATCGCACGATAGATGGTTCGAGCTGACGCTTGTCGGACGCCGAAGTGTAAATGGCTGTGCCCTCCCCGACTGATGACATTGGCCATCGACAAGCAAGCGCAGATGAAGGTGCGATACATGTGTGGAAATATATACCTGGCCTCTTTCTCTCTTTCTCTCACTCCCCTTCATCCACTCCAAACAATCTCCGCTTGCAGCATTAAGTCTTAGACACAGTGTCTCAGCTTTCTCATGGCTGCTTACGAAAATAATTCTACTTAAATCCTTTCGGTGTTTTTAGTTATCGCAATTACATACCTAGAGTCCTAGTACAACCCTCCGAGATTTCACCCTTCCCATGTCATGTGACTTGACATTTTTCAATCTGCCCAGGTAGACATGTCTTCATACCTGGCTTCGGTTACAATTCCTATGCTCATCCACACTGAACATATTGGCCCTCACCGTGTCTAGTTCGGCCGTAAGATTCAAGCATTTGTATGAACGCAATCAGCTGTGTTCGGTCAGGCACAGATTCCGGTCAATGATTAGGTTGGGTGTTTCATACTCAGACAGCCAATGCTGTCGCTGAGGAGGGGGGTACATGACCGTGATTCCGGAAACACTTCGAAGACCACTAGCAATCTCGTACTAATTCGATTCCAGCCCACCAGGCAGTAAGGGACAGGCGCGGATCTTTGGGAATTGCGGTCCTCACATCCGAATAAAGTCCACCCTTTACGACGGTGAGAAGGGAAATGCCATTGTGTTCAATCTATGTCAACTCTAACAACTCTATACTCGGATTTTATAACATGTTTTTGCATAGCAGTGGAAAAAACTAGGGTGAATGTGTCTTATCAACCTCCTCGCTAGAAATAAGTAAGGACTTAAGAGGGTCCTAGTGACATCGCAAATCAGATACTTGTTCTATTCCTATTCAGTACTTGGAGCAGGATTTAGGGAAGGCTAATGTTTTGCTAGTACCAACTCAGCTCCCAAGCAACCGCCACATAAACGCCACAAGACATGCATCAGAGGAGGCGCCCAATGGAAGATACCACACGAACACAGATTTCTCTAGCTGCTGACGCATAAAGCCTCGACACTACTCCATGCCCCTCATATTATTCAGTCTTTATCTTCCTCTTTCCAGCCTGATGATGACAAGCACTACCTAAATCCTACCGTGGGCATCGTCCATTCCCACCGACGACCTCTCAAAATGTCCCTCATCCTCCTCCTCGATTCTCGGAGCGTTTGCCTCCGTGAACGCTGTTGTCAGCCTTGTAGGGGCTATTTCCAGTTACCGCCTTGTTGTCAAGTTCTGCACGTTCGGATACTTTAGCAAGCATGAAGAGTCCTGGAGATACCTTTAGATCCTGCCCATAGGAACAGCTTGCAGCAAACGCAGTTGTTGCGCATCTCATCCAGAATGCGCCTGGCTACTCTGCCACATTTTTGATTGCGGAAATGGTGTGTTTTACACCGCACGCCCACGGCTCCCCTGGATTGTTCTTTTGCTTCTTAGTCTACCAAACCAGCAATATCGATCATCCTAGTAGCGTGCATCAGCTCTGTCATCAAGAATTCCAGAGATCGTTCCTGGGTTGATTTCTCTTGCTATCACCGGCAGGACTGTTCGATTTGGAGCCGTTCATGGGTTCTATCAGGTTAGAAGTGAAGGAAACAAACTCCTTTCATCAAGCGCCAAAATGATGTATGGAGGCGCGATATTCTATCCCAACAGTGCCTGCTTCACTCCAATAAGCTTTGGTACCACTCTCTCCGCACATCTTAACCATATTTCCAGAAGCCGCCCTCGCAAAAATGCTTAGTATCTAAACGAACGCCAATACGTAATAGCAACAAATATTCTTACGAAAGACTATGCATTTCCGTTTCTAGAACTCCCAGTCCTCATCCACGGATTTGAGGACTATTAGCGATCGCTGCTTTGGTGTTATACAAACCGGCCATGCAGTCTTACCTGATGAGCCTAACTTACAAACCGACGTTACAATCCTGTCTTGGGTATCTTAATTCTTCCTTTTCTTGCTCTTGAAGAATGTAGCCGGGATAACTCATAAATGCAATTGCCATCCTGACTGCAGCATGCTCGAAAATACTGCGGAATGCCATTAGAGATGATCTAATTGATTAAGTCGTTTGCTAGAATAAGAGATAACGCCAATGGGATGCCAGCTTCTATTCTCAATGTATGCCATTTGGTGAAATGCAACCTCAGCATCTACTTTATCCCAATGATCTACAAAACTTCATCCACATCCCTACTAACTAACTCTCACAACGGCCCCCTTTGCCCTTCCCCTCAAAGATCTCTATCCCCACTCTCCGCAACCTCTATCTCCTCCGACAGTTCATTCTTCGGTCTTAGCTTCCTGATCACACAATGTGTCCACCGACTAAGCGACTTATAGACAACCATAAACGGTCTCCCAACAAAGTTCGCCGCAACTTCAAACCAGCGATCTGGAAACAAGCGTAAACAAACCCCCCACGGAATACACAGTATCGAAACCACAATACTAATTCCCCACTGCGGCCCATTCAATGCAACAATACCAAATGCGGTACTCCCAAAATACACAATCACAACCTGAGAGCCTACCATGACCACGTTCAGGCTGATGAAGAAGTAATTCTTATGGATGTTTGCGAAGATGTTGAAGTTATTATCGAGGCGTCGGTTGTTGTACTGGTTAAAGATTTGCAGCCAGACGAACATGTTGAAGATTATTGAGCGCATTTCGGCTTCTGTGTAAGAGAGGAATTTGGGGCCGGCGAAGTGGAGGATGAAGGTTGAGGTGACTTGGAAAATGGCTTGCCCGATGATCATTTTCCACATCGTTATTGAGATTATGGAGGCACTGCGTGGGGTAGGTGGGCGGTCAAGGATTTCGTCGGTTGGGGCGTCGGTGGAGAGGGAGAGGGCGGCGAGGGAGTCCCTGGGTTTAGGATGTTAGTGGGGAGTTGGCGAGATGATGGAGGGTTGTATTGTTGTCTTACATGAAGAGGTTGATCCAGAGGAGTTGCACAGCTGTGAGGACGGAGCGCATTTCGGGATCCTCGACGGCTGAGATAAATGCGACGATCATGGCGGTAATATTGACGGTAATCTGAAATTGGAGGAATTTCTGCACCGCATCATTTACTGCGCGACCCCACATCAGAGCCGTCAGAATGGAGGCGAAATTGTCATCCATGAGGATGATGGCTGATGCTTCCTTGGCAACCTCAGTACCCGCAATACCCATGGAGAAACCGATGTCTGCAGCTTTGAGCGCCGGCCCGTCGTTGGTGCCATCTCCTGTATTACTATTAATGATGTAAATCCCGGAGTTGGAGACGCCTACCAGTTACAGCGACGATACCGCCGAGCTTCCTGAGTCGAGTCACCAAGATTCTCTTGTCCTCTGGCGACGACCGAGCCAAGACTTGAAGTCGGGGAAGGGTAGCGTCCAAGTGCGCATCACTTAGTTTCCTAAACTCAGGACCTTCCATTACAATGCCATCCGTGTATATACCACAGTCTGCGGCAATTGATTTTGCTGTGACGACGTTGTCACCAGTCACCATTCGCACGACAACACCTGCGTGTTTACACTTTTTGACAGCCTCAGGAACACCAGGACGGATCGGGTCTTGAATGCCAACGACACCAATGAAAGTCATGCCATTGAGCAAAGCACCAAGATTCACAGCTAACGTCGGGTCGTCCGGATTCTCGATTCCTCGCGGCGGCCACTGTGCGAAGTCTTTGTAGATGAGAGCAATGGTACGAAGAGATTGCTTGGCGTAGGACTCAATGGCAGTTGCAATACGGTTTGTTTGAGAGCTGTCCATTCGAATATTGCCGGTTGCTAGTGCTATTTTTGATGAATAGCTGAGCAGAATCTCTGGGGCACCCTTTACCAGTAAGCGGAAAGTCCCATCAGGAAGTTTCTGAACAGCACCCATACATTTCCGTGCCGAATCGAAGGGAAACATCTGCACCATCTGCGCATTCGTTCTTTTTTGAGCAAGAGATTCCATTCCTAAGACACTCTTCGCAAATCCCAACAAAGCTGTTTCGGTCTTCGAGCCTACGAAGCCGAACTCCCCTCCGTCCCCCTCGAAAGCTGTGGAGTTGATGGCAATGGACTCGACGAGAAGCAATTTCTGTTGCGACGTTAAACGTTCAGCGAACTGCAACGACCGGTTTTCTGTGCTACCGGGGTTTTTGTCATTAAAGGAATCTTCCCCAAAGGTGCCGGAAACGACTGTCATCTTATTCTGAGTAAGAGTACCAGTCTTGTCTGAACACACTGTGGTTGCGTTGCCCATGGTTTCGCATGACTTGAGGATACGCACAAGGTTATTCATTTTCACCATCTGAGTAGTGGCAAACGCAAGGGAAAGAGTAATGGCAAGAGGAAGGCCTTCGGGGACTGCCACCACGATGATCGTGATAGAGACGATGAGAATGTCCATGAACTTTGAGGCTTTCTCGGTCGGTGTAAGTGGGCTCCGGGGAAATGTACCGATAAAGCGGAAGAGAAGGACTAGCAGAAGGAAGAAGGATGCAGCAGATGCAAGCTTTGCAATAGCCCCAGCGAGGCCATCCAGCTTCTTCTGTAGAGGCGTGGGTTCCATATCTTGGCGCATGGCCATAAGAATCTTGCCGTACGATGAGTTGATGCCGACCGAGGTAACGAGATAGGTTCCAACGCCCTCGAGTACTTTGCTACCGGAAATGATGAAGGGATCGAGGTCTTTAGATTCACTGTGGCCACGTTCTAGAAGGCGAAGAACTTGCTCCCCGCCAGTTTTCCTGAGCTGATCGGACTCGCCTGTTGCAGAGGATTCGTCACATTTGACGTTGTGACCAGAGATAAAGATTCCGTCGCCAGGGGTGAGGTCGCCAGGTTCCATATGCAGTACATCGCCGACGAGGATGTCGTAAACAGAGATAGTGAAGGATTTGCCAGACCGAATGACCTTGACTGCGCGGTCTTCTTTCTTTGCGTTCAGTTTTACGAAGGCGCGCTCTTTCTGATAATCGTTCAGAGCTCCAACCAGGACCACCACTACAATAGATACACAGATCGCACAACCTTCGATCCAGTCCACTGAGGGAGGCGCATTCAGGCCATGGTCGACACCAAAGGTTTCATATAGGCCAAGAGCAAGGGATATGACGGCCGCAACGGTTAGAAGAATGAGAATGTTCTCTCTGTAGTACGCTTGCCACATGAGCGTCCAGAACGAAATTGGCTTCTTGGCCGGGAGGGCGTTGGTACTGTATACTCTCTTCCGGTCGTAGAAAGTTTCCCCAGAGTGTGACCCAACACTGGCAGGACCAAAGTCTGTGATGTCGACATGTCTCACATTAACTGGATGAGGGAAGCCTTTAGTATCTGTTCTTCCCAGTTTCTTATATTGCTTTGTAACTTCCTCGAATGACACCGAGCCTGGGAGCTCTGTCTCTTCTAAGCTCAGTCCCGTATCTACATTGGTTCGAAGGCCAGTCTCGAGGCCAGTTAGCCCACCAAGAGCGATGAATGCAGGTAGCGACTTTGGATTCAACAGTTTGTTTAGTTGACCAGGAGAAAAGGCAAACTTGTTGTTGAGGACGGCGAAATCCTTTTCTGATCCTGGGTCGGGCTTAAGAGCATCACCGTTTCGCTGCGAGTCAAGCGTGAATGGGCTTGTCTCGCTCACGACACTATGGTTTGAAGCACCAGCTGATGTGGATGGAGCGAGTGTTGCTTCGCTAACGGCCCTGCTTCGGCTTACAAATGTATTCGGGATAGACACAGCGCTTAGGTTGCTTATTGATCTGTCGCGGGTGTGTGTACCATTGAAAGATCTTTCTGTGACTAGAGTGGTGGGAGAGACGTTCTCGGATAAGGGGGTAACGGTGTCGTCGGTGTTCATGCGCACAGGGGTTCGTGGTACTACAACATGGATTTGAGGAAGGGGTGGCAGAGTATTACTTTCTTCGCGTCCAGGCATGTTGTAGGACGTTGAAGAAGCCATGCTCGATATACAAAGTGATAAGAGTATGGAGGGATATCACGGCCGGTCGTGCATAAGGTGAAAAGATGCAAATAATAGAGGAAAATAGAGCTTGCTGATCAGAGGGAATATTGCATCGCAGCTCATAATATAAGTATGCACAGTTATGTACATATCTATGGCCGACTTGTAGGTCAGATTGGGCATGCCCAAGACAGCAGGCGCGGAAGCCAAGACCGTCTTCCGCTGCTTGGCCCGCATCTTGATGATAGCAAAGCTAACATTTTGAGAGTAAGCTTCTTACCTATCTATTTGAATTGGAGAGCTGAGATATTGAAAATTCGAGGATACAATGCCAAGATTCTTGAAGGGCTATGCCTGAGACGAGTTTCCTCTCATCATGCCTCGTAGATTTAGTTACTCATCCACAAAAGTGTAGAAGGGATAAAGTGACGAATTGCATCGGTTTGAAACAGAGGCGAGGAGTTAGAATAAAAATTGAGGAGAGAAAGGAGAAGTCAAATGCTTGGTCAGAGAGTCCACAGTAACAAGTAGGTCCAAACGAGAGAAAGCGCATGTAAAGCTTCAGATGCAGGCGCACATGACGTTTCTTTGCTGCCGAATCCTGAGGCTAATCGTGTCTCACAACCAGTGTAGGAGTTGACTTGATTCCAAGCGGCAGATAGTGGATAGTAGAATGGCCTTTCGAGTAAAACTGCGAGTTGATTCGAGTGGTGAGAGATCTGCCTTAGTATGCATTTCAGGAAAATGCCTGACATAAAGCGAGAGAGTACCGTGACAAGACCAGGATAAGGTGCATTCCAGAAGGCTGTAAATTCCGATCGAACAATGTGGAATACAGGAAGGGGCTGATGGTATGCCCAATGGGCAAATATTAGCCATGCATTTGCTGTCTGCGAGGTCAACTCCAGACGAGGGAGCGCCATTTGGACTGTATGCAGGTGCGGAGGATGGCCGCTGCTTGGCAGTCAGCCTTGTGCTCGGCTGTAATTCGAGGGAAACGGTTGCTTGAGGGATCTCGAAGCGAGGTGCATGATTGGCGGTTGAAACAGACCATGAACGGGAAAAGAGAAACCAGGGGAAACCTTGGATGGAGACTTGCGATGCGCCAGTTGACTGGTCGACGGTTGGGGAGGGTAGTGAGGGGAGGAACGTTTGAAGTGTGTGTGAAGCCAAGACCCTAAAATGCGGCGATGCAGGAGTCAGTCACGGGCTTCGTGGGGCAATTCCGACAGTGTCGAAGACTCGAAGAACTCCTCTCCCTCTCACCCTTCATCTCGGAGTATCAAACAAACATCAATTTCACCATCCGCTCTATCCATATTCGCAATATTCGCCTGGTGCGCAATTTTGCTGAGAATCAAACCCCAACAAATTTGCTCTCGGGTCACTGAACTGCCGGAGCGGCATCTCCGACAGCATCTCAGCACCATGTGTCCATTCAGTAAGGGGATACAATCTTTATTTGGATATATCACTAATGAGCGCAGGCTCTGTGCCCAGCATTGAGGGTCCCTCCCGCTTCTCACCCTCGGCCGTGACACAATGGCAACAATCACGACGAAAATCCGTGTCAAACGCCTGCGAGCGATGTAGGCGAAGAAAAATTCGGTGCGATGGCGACACGCCATGCGCAACTTGCAGCCGTTTCTCGCTGGCATGTGTGCGGAGTCAAAAGTCGAAAGAGAGTATACAATCGTAAGTCACTGCCTACACGTGACTCCCCACATTTACTAACTACTCGTCCAAGGGAGCACCAAGTCGCCTTAGAAAATCGAATACATCAACTAGAAGCTCAGTTAGCTGCCCATATGAATGCGCCGATGCATGGTATGGAGTCCATTAGCCAATCTCTCATTGGAGGACAAGCGGCTTTTGACTGGCAAAGTCCACCGCAGCTCACCCTGGACACAAATTTTTCCACGCCATTCAATCCGGACACCGATATTGACATGGCTTCTTTCTCCGCGACTAGTATACCGTCCATTGCAATTACGAAATGCGAGCCGACGCCCAACGACACCTCACCGTCATCGCCCGTACCTGACTTTTGGGACGGCACAACTCGAGCGTCATCACCTGAAATGCTCCCCACGTCAGCACCGCAGTTCGCTACAAGCGTTGTACCACCTACCGGTGGCAAGGCCTTCTCGCCGCCCATAACCCCCCATGTGGCGCCGTCCTGGGAATTCCTTGCACAAGAGAGTTCAGGCCATCTTAAGCCAAACACCACGCATCCAAAAAGCACCTCTCGACGATCTTCCGTCTCATCATTCTCTCTCGATAACGAAGATGCTTCTATTTCGCCATTCCCCGACTTTGAAAGTCAGATTGAGATGCCTCGGCTGCCACGCCAAGGCATATTTGCCCCTAGAGTCGATAGCCCAACGGCGATGAGCTCTGGTCCAAACTTCACCGACCGTAGTAGAGCCATCACGTCCGCACCCTTCCCGAGTCGGTTCGAAGCTGAAACATTGACTGGTGTGTTCCTTAATCATATCGCAGCCTTTGAGTCCAAACCGTATGCTATTACTCCCTCAATATTCCGACAGATATTCGACACAGTATATCCTGATCCGAATCGCGGCCCAGCTTTCGATACATCGGTCTCGGTTGGCATGGCTCGCTTTCATGTCTTCTTTGCAATGACCATTGGCATGAAAATTAGAATCCAAGGAACTGCCGAAAGCAATTCGTTACTGGAGAGATGTTATGAATTAGCAATGCAACAAACATCTTCAGCAACCTTCTGGCAGGAGATAGGCGGCGTTGAAGCAATACAGCTTCTATCTATATTCTCCTTGTTGGGGAGAGAATCCAATTTCGAGCCCAAGCCTCTTCAGCAGTCCTGGTCTTGGTGATGGGGACGACTACTCTCCTGCTGGACAGGTGATCCGATGTTTCAGGCGTTGAAGCAGAAGAAATTCTTCTGTTTTTGTAGCAACTGGATACTTCGCACTATCGCGATAGATTACTATTGATGTACATACGACCTACGATACCGATAGACTGGAAATGGCTCACAACGTTTGTTTTCCTCTCTGGTTCCTCTTTAAGCGCTTCCTCTTATGAACCCGCTAATTTCGTAGTATAGCCGATTCCATGGGAATCCGATGCACGACGCTCGACTATCGCAAGGCTTGGTGATATCATGATGTGCAATCAAACTTCAAGCATTTCTCAGTAGCTGTTTGCCCTTATGTCCGCTTCTTCTGTGTAGACGTCCGGTAAAACCGCCCTTTCCCAGTCTCTACTATAATGAATCAACTCTAACGCTTCTAAAGAAATAATATTTCCTCTTGGAGCCCTTTTAACTTTACTACGGCATCGCATAGTACCTTTATCAACGCTCCTATCATCTGGTTGTCTGCCAGATTGCTTGAATAGCACAGGACCAATCCTACAGCCGATATCACTCTTTAACTTGTCTAGCGGAATCAGCAATATGGCCACCTGGAGGACGCAAAGATGAGGCGAAAGCTACGTTAGGTGATAGGAGTAGTGATGGTGACGGGAAGGATGAGTGCGGAGAAAAATACGACGAAGGAGAGGAAAAGAAAATGAAATGATCTCAAGGTCATACGGATCACACTCTGTCAGATTAAGAGGGTGGCGAACCCGATTTGGCAAGATAAGGCAAAGAACGATGTGACGATGCACGGTATGAACTTCACGGAATGAAACCTCGACAAGAGAACCCAGAAGATAAAATAAACCGGAGTGCGACTGTGGCAAGGGTTGGAGAGTGAGGTCAACAATTAGAACTCTTAATGGACATGTGGGTTCTGGTACCCTAGCTTGGATTCGCTGCGGATAGGGGCCGCGGGTGACAATAGCTCGATTACCATGCTGAAAGAGCTAGAAATGGGTGCCTAAGATCCCGAGCCAGCAAAAGAAGCTATTCGATCCCATTATAGATAGTGTGATGTGCGATGGCGAAGTGGACGAGCTCATAATAAGCTCATCCGCCATGAGCTGAAGGCTGCGACCCAAGTGGGGAGATTTGCACCTTTTCTTGACACGACTCGGCTCGGCCTGGTACGAGGCTCACTCGGAAAACAATCTCGGAGACATGGGGTCTGAAGTCGAAGCTGCGGCAACGGCAATTACTACAGAAAGAAGCTTGAGCAAGCGAAGCGATAATAATATTGTGGCTCGACTTCGAGGTTCAAACTCTTAAGCGAGGCCATGTTGTTCCGAATTGGGTAAGCCAATATATCAGGTGATAAACACCTGCCCAATAATATCTCTCTTTCCCTTCGGTCAGGGGGCAAAGCCTTTTTAACTTTAATACCCGGGGTGTGAAGCTCATTGTGGAGGCGGAGCAACGGCCGGAGTGGAGAGTTGCCATTTCTCGGACCGAACGTCAATAACGAGGCCGAGCATCCGCCCTATGGCCCTTTTGATAGGCCGTGTGCTCATTTCTAGGCACATACCGTCCATGACAGTCACAAGGCTGGCAACTGTCTCTGCGTAGGTATCTGTTAATCCTGGATGGACACTTTATTCTTCAGCGATGGCGCTAGCATGGCGCTAGCATGGCGCAATATCTCTTATATGGCCTGAGACGTTCATGAATGCGGCTCTCCAGTTGCTTGGCTATTAGTATAAGACAGACTTCGATTCTATCCTAAGAGGTCTCGAACGCACCGATGACCCGGAAAGGATGGCGTATCAAAGAGACAACGAACGGGAAACCTATAATTGGGCCATGGTCAATGAATGTAAGTTTTTACTCATGACCAAGTCAACCAAAGGTCATCATAAGCACTCATACTTTCTTCAGTACGCAGGCTTAATGACAACCTCGACGAATTGAGACAAATCTCCCGGACCTCTCTTGTGCCGCGCAATAGCTACAACAACCCCAACGGCTACAACCCCCAGCAATCCGATGGCGGCTCTTACAGAACCCAGGGCTTAATAAGACGTATTAATAATACCGATGACGAGGTTTTAACCCTATCAGACCGCTCGTCAGCGTACGGTAGACCTTCATATTCGATTCCATCCTCGTCAAGCCAAGCCACCATGACCAGCCGATCATCCAACGCATCTAAAAGAGAGAGAGCTTTGAACGGAAGCGATAGAGTTGCAAAATACTTGATGGCTGGCGGCACAGCAGCAGTGCCATTTTCTTTACTTGACCTATCTGGGACAACAACGATTGCTTCAGCTGGCGTAGCCGCAGTCGGGGGCGCATTGCAGCTGGCGGTTTGGTTTTGCAAGAAATGCAATAGACAGTATGAGAGAGCTAAGGTGTCTATTTCAGAGAAAAAGGCCAGTGTGAAGCATCGGATGGGTCTTTGTGATGGGTGTTGGAGGTGTATGGATTGAGATACGAGGGCTCGGCCTCCAGGGATTGCGTCCTGAGGAGGGTTTGCGCATCAACATGAAAACTCAGGATTGGTTTCCTACTTGACTTACTTTTTAAAGCTTTCCCAGGAGCCTCAATGATCCATTATTCTCAATAGCCCATGTATGATATGCTCAGATAGACAGGAACAAAACTAGACTAGGAATTCCACAAGTCGGGAGCATAGGAAGCCTAAAACGGTGTTTAGGACGTTATTGAATAACGTGGATCATCACTAGGGTAGGGTTTATCTGTTAAATTACTGATTTAGCTTAGGAAGGCGTAACTGGGGCTAAATTTCGGTCCCGAATCACCATGTCTTGTTCAACGTTAGAACACAAGGTGCAGTATTCACTCTGAGCGATTACTGAGAGATCATATTTGCAGTAACGGAGCTCTCCAAGCTCTATCCACCTACACTCCTTTGACTCACTGCTACTTAGCTACGCCACCTGCTACGGCCCAGAGCCGTCGCTGGCCTTAAGTCACATGACAGGCAGCGTTCCCAACCGTACGTAATACGTTACAACTCGCCAAATTAATAGTTGTAACTTCTTAGATTGTAAGTACGTTTTAACATAAGCATAATATTTAAGTCTACTTATAAAGCGTAACTATTATAATTTATATTTCTTTTATATTTTAACATTTTATAAAAAGTTACATTGTAACAGCTTATATATAGTCTACTAAAAATAATAATTTACTATAAATATAGTGCTAACATAGCTAGTTTTTTTATAGTTAAAAAGCCTTAATTATTAAGCTAAAAAGCTTATTTTTGTTATAAGTAATAGTTCTTTTACTGCTACTAAAGCTCCTCTTACAGTTACAGCTTATAGATAGAATAAATAAGAAGTTAAAAGTAATTTTATATAGTGTAGAATAGGTAAGCTGTCTAACTTATTTTTACTATGTAAAAGAATTAGTAAATAAAAGGCTATTATTTTTAGCTATAGTAACATCTTTACAGTAACTATTATAGTATTTGTCTGTACGCAGCAGCAGCGTCACAGTCTGGATACAAGCGATCGCGCACGAGCAGGACTATGTATCTCTGTCACATGATGCTTGTGCGCGAACCTCTGTGCGCAAACATTTAGATATCCCCCTTTTTCTCTATATAAAGGAAAGATAAGAGTAATAGAACTAGAAACATGTTGCCTTTACTTTACCTACCTTATACACTGTGCACACTATACACTACTCTTACTTTTGCTACTTAAGTGCTTATACTATAAGTAGCTAGCTATTAGAGCTTATTTAACACTAATTAGTAGTTAATTTAATTAACTATAAATTAGTAAGAGTAATAATAAAGTACTTACACTTTATAAAGTACTTTATTTTATTACTTATTCTTTAAAAAGAGTAACAGCAGAGTACTTACACTTTATAAGGTACTTTATTTAGTTACTTATTTTTTAAAATAGCAGATTAATCCTTTATATTATATAGTAAGCTCTGCTACTATATAAAGTAAAGAGAAGATAGTGTAAGACGCACACTAAAGCTACTAAAGCTGTATAACCTAGTAGCTAGATAATAGCACATTAATCCTTTACATTGCACAGCAAGCTCTGCTACTATATAAAGTAAAAAGGAGATAGTGTAAGGCGCACACTAAAGCTATTAAAGCTGTATAACTTAGTAGCTAGATAACAGCAGTACTTATGTAATTTACTAGAAAAGTAATTAACTATACTATTATAATAAAATCTTATTAGTAACTAACAACTTTATATAATAATAAAAAAAATAAAGAATAATTTCTGTTATATAAATAACTTATAAAAGACATAAGAATATTAGAGGTAACACTACAAAATAAGACTAGCCTAGAGTACTAGAATAATAAGATTAATATGTTAAAAGCTTTAATAAGCTTATAAACTTAATTATATATAAGTTATATAATTACTAATCTATATATAATAACTTAAAAGGGCGCTACTTTTTTAAGTGTGTATATAAAAAATTTTAAAAAATAAACACTATAAGACTTTTTAGCACTTAGCTGCGCGTTTAAAAGGGAGCTTATATAAGTACTAGAAGACAAGGGAATTACACTATAGCTAGGCACTAAAGGTACTTAAGCCTAGAAGCTGTATAATATAGCATAAAAAAAAGTAATTACACTAAAAAAGCTTTATATATAACTTTTATTACTATATAAAGCTTTACATAGAAGTAGACTAAACATAATGCTGCTATTAACACTAAACATACTAGCATTACCTACTTCTACACTTTAGCTAGCACTACACTAATTACTATATAAATAATACATGCTACCCTACCTAACGCCTGCTCTACACCCTTAATTGTACACACTACTGCCTGCAGTAGTGTATGCACTACTAATACTACCTGCACAATCTATACTACATTACAACTTGTACAAACTTCTACTCTAAAGAAAAACTGCTAAAGAAAAACTCCTAGTAGATAAGATTATATAATTTTAAAAAGCATAAAAAAAAAATAATAACTACATAAGTTAACTATATAACACTTTTATAAATAAAATAAAGACTTTTATTAATTTATGTTAATAGCTAGATATCTAGGAAACTTAGTACACAGACATCTTTCTAGATATTCTAGAAGGTTAGGTAAATATGCACTATATGTATAACATAAGCCTTAGAAACAACTAAAAGCATTTATATAACACTTTAAGCATTATAATAAAAGATTTTATGTAAAGAGAAAAAAAGAAACTGCAGAAAGCAAAGTTTTATGTAAAAAGTAAAACTATCTTAGCAGAAAAGCAACTTATTAAGTTTAACAGTAGAAAGATTAAACTTACACATAATATAGTAGTTTTTACTTAAAAAAGATAAGTAAGCTACCTTTATATAATTAACTTAGAGAATAAAGATGCTGTATAATAATATGTTAAGTAACATATAAAAGGGGTATACATTGCATCTATATATTAACTAGAGGCAGTATTTAACCTTTTTATTACTACATAAACTATAGACTCTTTGCATAATAATATTAACACACTTAACACATAAATCTAATAGTAGATAGATAATAGTAAGCATAGTCTTACTTTCTTACTATTATAGCTTAATTATATAAAGCTGTTTATTTTTATAAATAAATTATTTACTAATAATAAAGACTTTAGCTTATAGCTAGAATTCTTAATTATATTAAGTAATAAAAACTATATAGAGTAAAGCAACTACTTTAAAATACTAGGCAACATTGTACACTAGAATTCTACTAAGTGTAAAAGAGTAACTAGGAGTGTCCTTACTAGCAAACTATATAGAATAGTTAAAGGGTTTAATAATATAATTACTTTTAGTATAACTTTATAGTAAATTATATAAACACTTAAACTGCTACTAATTCTAGTAGTAATTTACATAAATTTAAGGTCTCTATATAATTACCTTATTAAGCTAGGCACTACTAGTAAAAAGTAACTTATAATTAACATTATGTTACTCTGTAAATTATATAAAAAAAAAGAAATTACTAAAATAAAGTAGATTAATAGTAAAAATAACTTAGTAAATGTATGTATAAAAAAAACACTAAACTAAGCTTTTTAATTATTAGTCCTAACTAACTGCCTCTCTGTCTAGATAGAAGCATCTGTAGACTAGCTAGATCTTGTGCATAAAGATGCCTTAGACTAACTAAACTAATAACACTTTTATATAAAGCCTATTTTTTTTATTTTTTTTTATTATATGCACTTATTTTTCTTATTATAAAATTAGAAAAGAAAGATATGTAAAAAAGACAGTCTATTTATCTAGTATATAGAAAAAGAAAAAGCTACTACCCCTTATGTATAGTAGTCACAATGCAGACCACAGCTCTACTATACACATAAGGCGTAGGCATTAGCTTAGAAGTTAGCTAATATATAACACTTAATAAAAAAAAAAGCACTAGTAGTGCTACTATAATAATAAGTATATAAAGTTACTAAAACTTAACTATAACTCTAGACTAAGACTATATAAAAGTATCTCTTATAACACACAACCTTTACTGCTTACAGCTATAGATTAGTGCTAGTAGGTAAGACAACATTAATATTATAAGACAGTAAAGCTACTACATGCTACTTCTTAGCCTATTTATAATTAGCATTTTATATAAAAAGAAAGTAAAAGAGCTAAAGGATTTATATATTTATGCTAAGATATTAAATAAACTGCTAATTAGTAGTAGAACTAGTTAAAAAGGTAACATAGATGCACTCTAGGCTGCTAGACTGCATAAGGACGTTAAAGACGCCCGCACTAACAGCGCTAGAGGTAGAGGAGAAAGGCTAGAGAGATATCTCTCTCTCTGTGTGTGTGTATGTGTGTGTGTGTGTGTGTGTGTGTGTGTGTGCAGGCAGGAGTATCTGTTACTATTAGCACTGTATAAAAAGAGAAAAGAGCTAGGGAATTATATAGTAGAGCTTAGAAAGTAAAGGATAAAGAAAAGAAGGTAAAGAAGAAAAGAAGACCTTATTATATACACCTCCTTACGCACCTGCCTACACAAAAATCCTACACTATTTTAGCATAAAACTCTACATAAAACAGTTTATACACTGCTAAATTACTTATAAAGTAAGCGCATAAAGGCTAGATAATAATAGCCTAAAACACTTTACACTATTTATAAAGCTATTTACATAGCGTAACTAGCCTATTTTAATATATAGCATTACTAAGGCAAGTCCTAACAAATAGAGTAAAGTAAAGGTAGAATGTAATTAGATAGACCTATATAAACAGAAGAGAGATAACGCGTACAGAAGGCAACTTTTTAGATAAAAAGAAAAGTTGCTAGTGTCTGTACACAGCAGCAGTGTTATAGTCTAGATATAAGTAATTGCGCACAAGTAGGACTACATATCTCTATTATATAATGCTTATGTGTAAACCTCTGTGCGCAAACATCTAAATATCCCCCTTTTCTTTTATATAGAGGAAAGATAAGAGTAATAAAACTAGAAACATGTTGCCCTTACCTTACCTACCTTATACGCTGTGCACACTGTACACCACTCTTACTCTTGCTACTTAAGTGCTTATACTATAAGCAGCTAGCTGTCGGAGCCTATTTAACAGTATTACTATAATTTTATTATTTTCTACTACTTTTTATATAAATAATTACTAGTAAAGAGGCTTATGTTTATAAAAAAAGTCTACTTAAAGCTCTTATTATAATACTTGCTACTTAGTAACTTATGTTGTGTAAATAGCAGTTACTTATTATCTTCTACCTCTACCTTTACCTTAGTATTAACATACTTTTAAAAAATAGCCCTTATTAAAGCTTTAGCTTTTTTATGCTATAAAAAGTGCTTACACTAGTAGTCTTTAAACTAAAAAAGATAAAGCTAAGAGTTAAAAATAGTTATAATATAATAATAAAATATAAGTAGCTTTATAACAAACTTTTTCTAGTATATAAGTAACTTCTTTATGCTAAATGCTATACTAGATTTAAAGTAGTAATTATTACTTTTACTTTTAAGTTTATTCTTTATTTAGAGAAGCTTAGTATATAAGTGTTGCAGGTTAATAACAGTTATCTATAAGAATCTATATAAGCTCTTACCCTTAAGGTGTTTTATTGTAAAGTAAAAAACTTTAAAAAACTTATAAAAGTAATTAACCTTTTTTTATTTATTTTTAGTAATAATCTTAGTAAAAGTAGTATTACTAAAAATAGTAAAGTTAGTGCTGTTATTTTTAGTGCCTCTTTACTTATAAATAAACTTAGTAATAGTGTTCTTAAGCTTATAACAGCAAAGAAGCATAAAATAGATGCTATACTAGCGTACACTACTGTCTTATATAAGATTAAGAGTCCTAAAGCTCTAGAAAAAGTCCTTATTATTAAAAGTAGCTTAAAAAGTTATAAAAGCTTTTTAGTGTTTATATAATACTAACACTATATTTATAAAGTTATAAAGCTTACTTATAACTTTATGCTAATAGTATAGTTTAAATTAATTCTAAAAAGTAGCTTAGGCTAGCGCTGCTTTAAAAGCATTTATTTTTTTTCTATATATAACTGCCTTAACTACTAGCTAGATTGTATAACTAGCGCAGTGTATATAGTGCTTAGAGGTAAGAGGCCTTTTAAAATATTATATAAAGGCAAAGATAGTTTTATTATTATTATTTAACATGTTGTTAGCTACTAAATAATAAAATTTTAATAAAATTTTAAAGTTATTAATAACTTTAATAATCTTTTTAGCTTAGTTTACTTTTATATAGTTACTATATAAGTTATAAAAGCTAATAAGTACATTATAGTGCTAGTAGTTAACATTTATATTAGTATAAGTAAGTGTGTTATTATTAATTTTTATAGTGCTAAGGCACTAAAATAATAAGCTAAGGTATATATACTAATAAAGTGTAACACTACACCTAGAAAAAAAAAGTATTTTAAAGAAGTCTATATATTAACACTTAATATAATTTTACTTTAAGCTATCTTTAGTATTATTTAAATCTTTGCTCTCTAGCGTAGGCAGGCCTTATTTATATAAGAAGAAAATGTAGTATCTAAGACTAGAAAAGCTATAAGAAAATTAGCTTAGTTTTAAGTAAAAATGCTTTAAAGTTTTGCTAATAATGCTGTGTTAAAAAAAATGTTATAAAAAATAACTTAATTAATAACTACTACTTATAACACTTTCTTCTACTATATGCTATAAAAGATAATATATAATAAGCTAGCAACTTTATAAGTAGCTTTAAATAAACTTACTAAAATTTTTAGTGTATTAAGTAAAAAACTTTTATTAAAGATATTAATTCTATGTTTTTTTTTAAAGTAGCTTATAATATAAGTGTAACTATTAACTTTTTTTACCTTTTTATAAACACCCCTAGCGTAGCACCTCTTGCAGAGCTATAGCTTTACTTTAGAGCTGTCTTTCTTATTATTATACACTAAATCTGCTCTATGCTGCTAAATCTAGAAGAGCTGCTAGTTCCTATAGAGCTAGCTTTTATGCTTTACGCAATACTTAACTTTTTTAGGCCTTAGCTTTTTATTTACTAGCTAGAGGTTATTTTACTTTATAGTAAAAGCTACTTTATTATTAAGACTAGTGTTAGCTAGGTACTTCTTTAAACAGGCATTAAATAGTGTACTACCTTAGGATAAAACTAAAAAGAAAAATAATAAGGCCTTTAACTTAGTAAAGTAACAAGAACTAGTATAATAAAATACATTAGTTTACTAGAAAGAGCTAGCTCTAGAGAATTCTTAGGATAAAGCAGTACGCCTGCTGCGCTAGAGGAATTAGAACATTTAGCTTATAGTAAGTAGAATAATAAATGTAGATAAATTAATAATAATTTATAAGCTAAAAAGCTAACTATTTATATAGAATAGTACACTTTACTTCTAGCTTCTACTGCAAGCGCTAATGTTTTATAAACTTTAAAGTTTTTACTTAATTATTACTCTAAGAATGTAACTTTAAACACGCTTCTAACGCAATCCTACATGTGTCTAATTAGGTCTTATTTTAGTAGAAAAAGTTGCCTTTTTAAGACGTACTATAGTCTATAATAGGCGCTCCTCTAGTCATACGTTACAACTCATATCTCTCCTACGTTTCAACGGCTCACGTGACTGTTACGGGTTGTATACTACGACTCGTAGTACGTACGGTTGGGAACCCTGATGACAGGTTCACCTAGTACTATATAAACCCGTAGTTGTGTTCCTTTAGCAATCAATCCAGTTCCTCATGCTTTTGGTGCTCCTCCTAACTTCACAGATCAACTTTCTTAATATCACATATCTACCTTATTCTCATGCCCTTGTCAGCCGAATACGTTTCCTTCTGGTGGGATGGGAGGCTTATCCAAAGTTCTTGCGCACTCACGGGCACATGTTTCCTACAACAGACTCGGCGGCTACAACACCTAGAATAGGAACTGGCATTGCATCGATAAAGGTTGCCGCTATTCATGCTTCTTCAGAAACCACTATGTAAGTACTCCTGAATCTGCGAAAGGCGCCAGAAGCGAACTCGTAACCTTTGAGTGTCGTACGGAGTGCGATATGGAGGAGTGCAATGCTATTAGCTTAGGTTTGTGGGGAACATATTATCCGTTTAGATATAGTTTAGTTGTATTGATTGTTGAATAAGGTTCTATACCTATAGCGAGATGACCCTGGTCATCTTTTACATGTTATAGTGGTATATTAAATGGCCTAAACAATCTGAATACTTAGAAATCCTTGTACTAGAGGTTATGCGGCAGAATTTTGAATCCTACGAATTTCCTCCTTAATCCTACAAAGAGGGTTAATAGATTCCCTTCCGCTATTCATGTTTGCTATAGCTATGCTTGACATTACCTCAGCGACCCCAGCCGACTGGGGAAAGAAACTAACATTACACCTGCTGGTAGACCTACCCCTTGCTAGCGTCTAGCTCTAGCTAATAATAACTGCAGGTGTCCGTACATAAGTACAGCTGCGTCCGTACACGCGTACGGCTGAATTAGGTTGCCTAAAACAGTTAGCTATCTAGCCTGTGCGTTAGAGGCTATGTGTACTTAAGAGTCCTTTTTCTTTATACAAAAAGAGAGGGCAGTAGTTAATAACAAGAAGATCTTTGCCTGCTTACCCTGTTATAGGCTATACGCTTAGCGTACAGCTGTCTATCTACCTACTGCGTGCGTAGCCACGCAGAGAAGGGACCTACTACTAAATACGTAGTGTCACGATTGTGCACGAGTAAGGTTATAGAGCTTCACGGAGGTCTAGTTTAATTACTACGTAAGGTATTATAGTAGGTACAAGACGTTGTGTAAGAAACAGAAAGGTTTAGAAAAAAATTAGTAATTAAATACTTAGCTTAAAAGTCTAAGCGCTTTAAGTATAAATTAAGCCTATTTTAAGTTTAGTTAGTGTTAAAGCAGTTTATACTTAAGTTTATGTCTATGTTATGTTATGTTTATGTTAGATGTGCACTAATAATACTCTAGTACATGTCTAATATAGTTATGTCTAGGATCTAGAGAGGATACTGTAACAGTACCCCCCCTTTTATTAAAAAGAGAATTCTTTACATTAGTAGTTCTAGCATTAGGTTGTTTTTATTAGAGTATAGGTTTAGTTTAGATAAGTATTAGGTGTAGAATTAAGTTACTGCAAAGTTCTTTTATAGGGCTTTTACAGGTTCTTACAACAGTTTGTTGTATCTAGTCTATTTTATAAAGTATTTATAGATATGTTTTTTCTTATTAAACTAGATTTATTTAATGTCTTTTACAACATATTTTAGTTTGTTGTTTATAATAATAGGTTTAAGTAGCAGGTTTAGCTATTTAGGTAGATAGTTAGATTTAGAGGCTGCTTAGCGCAGCAATAATATGTAGAACACAGGGTGTATCTTTATGCTATTAGGTAGGATTAATTAGTAAGCATATAATAAGACTATATAGGCTACTATAAAGAGGCTAAGGTTCTTCTAATTAAGTTTCTTTAATTATTAGTTTATTTAGATATTTCTAGCGTCTAGCTAGACCTTCTTACTAGCTGCATACATAGGGGCAAGAGTTTAGAATTAGTTTATGTACTCTTGTTAAAGAGCTTAAGCCTATATAAGCTTTTTATAAATATATTTAAATATATTTTAAATTTTGTTAATAAGTCTATTTACATCTATTACTTATATAAATTAATAAGTTAGTTAGAGGGTATTTATAAGTAGTTTAAATTTTATTTAGAGGTAGTATCTATAGTTTACTAAAAATAGGGATACTTATGTTAATTTAAATGTTATGTTATTAGCTTTAAACTATGCTATAGCTAACTATTTTACCTAGTTGTCTTACTAGTAGTTTATGTACACTTATAAAACTTATTTTATTATAGTGTTTATGTTCTTAGTCTAGCTATTAGTCTCTAGGTAAAAAGCTATAGATAAATAAAAGATAATTTAGAGCTATTTATAGAGTTTGTTTTAGAAAGCTAAGACAAACTACGTACCTCTGTCTAATATAATTATGTTAGGTAAGCTATAGTAAACTTATATATATTAGTAGAATAACTAGGCTATATTAGAGGCAGTTATAAAGAAACATAGTATTAAGTGTTAATACTTAGTTAAGTAATTAACAACTACTATAATATTTATATACTTTTTAAATAAAAGTAGGTCTATAATAAAATTAATTAATATGTCTTTTTAAGCTTATTTAAAAATTAAAAGCAGTTTAAGCAAGCTATTATACCTTTCTTAAAAGGCCTTTACTTTACAGTAAGTATAGCAACATAATATGTATTAGTGTATAGTATAGAACATGCAGGGCTAGTAGTACTCTCTCTATAGTAGGTTAAGAGTCTTTTCTCTACCTAGATGTCCTTTAATAAGTAAGTTATATATAATTTAAAGTAGTTTAATTCTTAGTTTATTAGAATTAAAAATTATAAGTTAGTTATAGTAATATAGCTTACTATTTTAGTTTTTATAGTTAGCTAGTGTTACCTTCTTTAACTAACTAGTGCTGTTTTAGAGTAGGTTTAAAGTTTCTTAAATAAATTTATTATTTAGATACTTATTAATAATAATCTAATTAATTATTTAATTTATTTTATTTAAGTTAAGGTCTAAAAATAGCTTAAGTTAAAGTAAAGTTTAGTGTTAAGCCTTTTACACTTTTTTCTAAGTAGAGATGTTTTAAGATTACTTTATAAAAGCATTTAGTTTCCTTCTATCTTAACTAAAATAATAAGTAATCTTAAAATTAAAATAAAATAAGTATTTAGACTAATAAGCTTATTAGTAGCTAAGTTATTTTATAGTTGTAAAGTACTATAAGTTCTTATAGTTAAATAGAACCTATATTAGATGCGCTACACTTTTTAGTTTAGGTTACTATTATTTAAAGTAGCATACTATAGTAAGTAATTTTTTATTATAAATTTTATAATTACTTTCTACAAAACTTATTCTTTTTAAGAAGTATATAATAGGCCTAATAGTTTTATCTAGCTTAGTCTAGAAAAAAACTTCTACTACTACATAGTCTAAGGCATTAGCTTCTATAAGTATTAGTAGTTTAAAGTTAAAGTAGTAAAGTATTAAAGCTTTAGTAAAAGCTTTTTTTAGCTAGTTAAAAGACTGTTAGTAATTTAAGTTAAAGTTAAATTAAACTTTTTTCTTAGTAAGTGTAATTATAGGGCTTACTAGCTATAAAAAGTTATTAATAAATTATTAGTAAAAGTTAGTAAATCTTATAAAAGCTTAAACATTTTTTATATTTTTTAGGTATTACTAATCTAGCACAGTCTAAACCTTAATAGGGTCTATTTAAATGCTATTTATAGAGATTACATATCCTAAATATGTAACTTTTAATTAGTAGAACTTACATTTATCTATATTAAGTTATAGACCTACTTTTTTTATAGCCTTTAGCACTAAGTGTATATGCTGTTTATGCTCTAAAAGGCTATTACTGTAAATTAAAATATTATTAATATACGCAGTGCAGAACATGTCTAGGTAGGGTTAAAGTAAGTTATTTACAAAATATTAAAAAGTACTAGGCGTGTTAGCTAAGCTAAAGGGTATTACTAGGTACTTAAATAGTCTATATTAGGTCTAAAACACTATTAGCTACTTATTACTCTTTGCTATTTTTAGCTTGTTAAAGGCAGTAATAATATCTAACTTTATAAAATACTTTACTTTACTTAGTTAACTTAAAGTTTCTTATAAAAAAAAATTAAGTATTAGTTTTTAATAGTAATAGTATTTAGTCTTTAGTAGTTAACATAGAATTAAAGCTTACCTTTAAGTTTTTTTATAAATAGTATAAGTAACACTACTAGTAAAAAGCTAGCTTAAATAAACCTTTTCTTTAGGTTCTTATTAAGGTATTTTTAAAGCACTTTTAATTTATTTAGTAACATCTTATATAGTAGCCTATAACTAGGTTGTTTACTAGGCTTAAAAGTTATTTAGTAATTATATAAACATTATATTAAAAGCTTATTAGACTTATTTTAGAAGAAAATATATAATAAGTTATAGTAGTCTTAAAAGACTATTATTTTTAAGTTAGTGTGTTTTTAAAAAGCTAAAGCTTAGTCTATATTAGAAATTATAACTACATAGATTTTATAATCTAGTTATTAAGCTAAAGTTATAAATAAAGTAGGTTCTATATAGTAGATGTCTATTTACTATTTAAGTCCTAGTTTATGTTTAAATTAGGTAAGTAAAAGTTCTTTAAAGGCTTTCTCTTTTTTAAGTTTAAGCAGTTGTTAAATTATTTTATATAGCCTATCTTAGTAAAAGGCCTAGCTTATTAGCTTTACTTAAGTAGTTCTTTTCTAGGTTATTAAAAAGTAAGTCTAAAGACCTTCTATATTAAGTGCTATTTAAGTGTTGTTTAAGTGTAAGCATAAGCATACATCTTAGCATTAGAAAAAGTTAAAGTTTAGAACTTACTTTTAGTAATTAAAGGCAACTTTATACTAATACAGCTATAGTTATTTTAGAATTAAGTTATAATGTCCTATGTTTATTATATAAAGTTTAATCTACTCTTTATAGTGTTAGTAGGTAATTATAATAATTATAGTATAAAAAATAAAACTTTCTTTAAGTTATTTTTTATTAAATTTAGTTAGGTAAATTATTTAGGTAAGTAGTATTAATTAAAGATTTAGTTTACACGCTAGTTCTTTATTAATGTAACCTATACTATTTACTTCTAAGTTAATAAAAGCTTATATTAAAGCTAATATAGTTTTTTATTATAAACATATAAAAATATTAACTTAGTACTTTTAGTTATTAGTAGGGGACTTAGCTTATAAGTTAGTAAAGATTTAGTATTAAATTAGTCTTAAAAGGCAACTTAGCTCTAGGATAAGCCTTTTTACAGGCTCCTACTGCTATAGCTGCAGCTATGTTAAAAGTAGTAAAAAAGATTAAAGCTTAAATATAAGTTAGAGCCCTTATAAAAATAAGATTAAAATAGTAAAAATTTTTAATAAGTACTAGTAGCGCTACTTGCGTAGACTTAAAAAAAAAAATAAAGCAGTTTTAAAAAATATAACTATGCTTACTGCACTTAAAGTATTAACTTTTTTTTTTATAATTTTTACACTTTCTAGAACTAACTAGAGCATAATTTAAATTAATTTTTATTATGTTAGAGTTCTTATTTACAACTACGCTAGTTTAAGGGCGTATTAGGGCTTATATAAAAAGGAACCTTATGTTATTATTATAAGTAGTAATTAAGTTTACATACGCATTAAAGTTGTTTAGAAGGGGTTCTTTTACTATAGCGTGTTACAGTTTAGTTAAAAGGGAGTTATATAAAGCTATAATTAGACTTATTTTATTTAGGCTTATATTAAATGCAAG